CTGGGTGCCCTCTGGTGTGGTCCGGGCCCGACCCGACAGACTGCGTCCGATTTGACATGCCGGCTCGTGACGTTGACGCATGGCGGGCCCTGCAGGACTGCGCGACTGCGCCCGCGTGCGTGCGGGGGAGGAGCAGCTGGAGGAGGAGGACGACGACAAGGGTCGAGCGCTGCTCGGGAACACGTGTCACGGGCGAGCGTAACGTCGAGCGGAGCGGCGGCGAGGGAACGGGAGGTGAGCGGGGAACATGTGAGCAGCCCAGATTAAAAACAGGGCGCGACCGGAACGCGAGGCTAAGCACCCGGAGGAGAGCGGGCGCGGGGCGGGGGCGGGGCGCGGGCGCAGAGCGGGGCCGGGTGATCTATTGGAGATTCCACGCCGTCCGCGCAGCTATGCCCGCCCCGCCCGCGCTCCTGCCTGCGCCGCGCCGTAAGGCCCGTGCGCTGTCACATTCCTGGACCGATCACCCGGAGCAGCTCCGCCGCTCCCCCTCCACAGCGCAAGCGACCGGCGGGTGACTAACCCACAACGATGACTGATCTGAAGCCATCCGCAGGCGACAGGCCGGACCAGGCGGGGCGAGCAGGCGAGCAGGCCCCGCGGGATAATTAGGCCATTGTCCAGCTCTGCTCTCCAGGCGGGCTCCAGCAGGCGTGGTCCAGGACGCTCAGCTCAAGGGCGCGGCGGCGGCGGCGTCGCGAAACAAGTGACGAGTCTGCGGAGACTGGCGGGCGGCGCCGCTCACGGCGTGGGACCCAAGAGCATGAGCCGCCTTTGTTGTCCGGTCAGCACGAGCCGACGCCGGCCGGGGTAATCTCTTTCCGAGTGTTCCTGACTCGTTGTATACCATCACGCCGCCGAGTCCAGGCCGCGCTGGCGCTCCGCTGCGTCACGCACAGTCGCTAAATTATGTACCACTTCGCGTCGAGTCCCGATCGCAACCTTTAATTCGATTGGCGAAAAGAAAAGTCCCCCCAAACCAGCGTCTGGGTTAGCCGTAGGCGGAGGACGTTGACGTGTGTACGTGTGCCGTGGCGGAGGCCCGGTCCGAGACGGAGAACTACTAGAGAACTGATAGTCGCGTCACTGCTGGGTGGGAATGCCGCAGCGTCACTTCTCTAACCCGTTGAGTTCCGATCCGGGCCGCCCGTCCAGCAGCGCGGGTGACGCACCGCGGCGGTAGGTCGCAAGGTACCTGCCGTAACGCTATCAGTGAGTGAGTCACTCTGCGCCGGCCATCAGACCAGCGCCCCGCGCCCGGAGCGCCGCTGAAACTCGCTCGAGCATGGTCATCTCATCTCTCTACTGCCCCCTGCTCTACCGCCACACAGCACCTCGTGCCCCCCGCCTTGCCGTGTTCCGAAGAGTGGCGTGGTGGTCGCACGACTGTGTAGCCCGGGCGCATCACTTAGCGCTTCTGATTGATACGATCCGAGCCGAGTCCCTGACACGGCCCTATCCCGCGCGCCTGCCTCGGTTGGGGGCCTCGGAGGTGCCCGGCCACCTCAACGAGCCCTTATCGCCGACCAGGAGGCCTCGACTAGTGGGGGCTTCACATAAGGGGCGCTTTCTCTCGTAAGAACCGTCGTCTCGTGACAAAGCCGAACATGCCGAGCGCACACACACCAGCCTCCGGACTTTCAGCTCTTACAGCATCTTCTGCCCAATACGGGGATACGTACAAAAACAGAACGGGCGGCAGTGAAAGGTGGGACGGGACGGGAGTCGGGGAGGGAGAGGGGGTCATCGTCAAGGATCAGGGCGGCAGCTGTCGGTTACTGCCGCGCGCTGCTGTGTACCGCACTGCGTCGCGAAAGGGGGGAGGGGGGGAGGCGCGGACTCACAAGTACGCATGCATGTTGCCATAACAGCGAATAAGGACAGCTGCGTCGTGCGAGGCCCTCGCCACGCCCCGCCACGCCCCGGCACGCCCCGCCACGCCCCGCCCCGCCACGCCACGCCTCGCCACCCGCGGCTCACTGGGCGGGCCGCCGCTCTGTTGTGGTCTTGTGCTTGCCACCTCCTGCATCGCCCCGTTTGAGGAGCAACACTCTCTTATTCCATTCTCGCCAGCTCGAAAGAAAATGGAAGAAGAGGAAAGTGCGCCTCTCGTTATATGACTCACACAACCAACTCGGATCCGCCCCAGATCGCGCCCTGAATGGCTTGGCCGGCCGGACGACGTGGTGTTACGGCTGCACTGCGACGTGCCGTACCCGAGGACGTGCAGAGCACCACCGCGATGTGCGGCTCGGCCCCACGCGCCGCCGGCCCACACGCAGTTGCAGTGTGCTCATCTCAGTTTTACACAGTCCATCGATCCGCGACTCTTCGTGTGCTTTTGAGTATATAGCGTCTTGGAAGTGTTTGCGGACGGGACGGGACGGCACGCCAGCTGCACACCACCCACCGCGCAGCCGGGGCAGGCCGGGGCAGGGGCGCGTCGCGGGAGGGCTCGTGATTGCCTGGCACAGTGCAATTACACGCAGATAGGCGCCCCAAAGGCCCCCCTCCCCTCCTCCGCGCATGCAAAGGGCCTCGGCGGCCAGGGCGGCGGCCACCCCACGACGACGGGAAGGAAGTTCCCAACTGCCGCCCCCACAACGCCAGCCCTTGCGGCCCCGGCCCCCGGCCTCGGCCCCGGCCCCGGCGGGGTGCGGTACAGCCGCCACGTTTGCAAACAATACATTTGCATCGTATTTCGCCAGCGTTGTGTTGCGGGGAAGAGCGGAAAGGGTTCCCCTTCTTCTCCTTCCCTCGCCCATACCACCCTCTGGAGGGGCTGCGGTGCGATACAAGAAGGGTAGTGCGCGGCGAAGCACTTACTCCAGTGGCGAAGCAGAAC